CTAACGAGTCCGAAATGTACCTCTGTGACTCCACATTGTGGAAACTCACTTGTAGTGTATAAGATGAACTAGATGGACCCATACTTACCCAAACATGGATTAATAGGTTCTCCACATGACTATGAGGACAAACATGAGTGAAACGGTCTCAATCCAAGGGAGGAACATCAAATGGACCAAATTTGGGAACCGGAAGAGGTAAGGAGTCCGAAATGTACCTCTGTGACTCCACATTGTGGAAACTCACTTGTAGTGTATAAGATGAACTAGATGGACCCATACTTACCCAAACATGGATTAATAGGTTCTCCACATGACTATGAGGACAAACATGAGTGAAACGGTCTCAATCCAAGGGAGGAACATCAAATGGACCTAATTTGGGAACCGGAAGAGGTAAGGAGTCCGAAATGTACCTCTGTGACTCCACATTGTGGAAACTCACTTGTAGTGTATAAGATGAACTAGATGGACCCATACTTACCCAAACATGGATTAATAGGTTCTCACATGACTATGAGGACAAACATGAGTGAAACGGTCTCAATCCAAGGGAGGAACATCAAATGGACCTAATTTGGGAACCGGAAGAGGTAAGGAGTCCGAAATGTACCTCTGTGACTCCACATTGTGGAAACTCACTTGTAGTGTATAAGATGAACTAGATGGACCCATACTTACCCAAACATGGATTAATAGGTTCTCCACATGACTATGAGGACAAACATGAGTGAAACGGTCTCAATCCAAGGGAGGAACATCAAATGGACCTAATTTGGGAACCGGAAGAGGTAAGGAGTCCGAAATGTACCTCTGTGACTCCACATTGTGGAAACTCACTTGTAGTGTATAAGATGAACTAGATGGACCCATACTTACCCAAACATGGATTAATAGGTTCTCACATGACTATGAGGACAAACATGAGTGAAACGGTCTCAATCCAAGGGAGGAACATCAAATGGACCTAATTTGGGAACCGGAAGAGGTAAGGAGTCCGAAATGTACCTCTGTGACTCCACATTGTGGAAACTCACTTGTAGTGTATAAGATGAACTAGATGGACCCATACTTACCCAAACATGGATTAATAGGTTCTCCACATTACTATGAGGACAAACATGAGTGAAACGGTCTCAATCCAAGGGAGGAACATCAAATGGACCTAATTTGGGAACCGGAAGAGGTAAGGAGTCCGAAATGTACCTCTGTGACTCCACATTGTGGAAACTCACTTGTAGTGTATAAGATGAACTAGATGGACCCATACTTACCCAAACATGGATTAATAGGTTCTCACATGACTATGAGGACAAACATGAGTGAAACGGTCTCAATCCAAGGGAGGAACATCAAATGGACCTAATTTGGGAACCGGAAGAGGTAAGGAGTCCGAAATGTACCTCTGTGACTCCACATTGTGGAAACTCACTTGTAGTGTATAAGATGAACTAGATGGACCCATACTTACCCAAACATGGATTAATAGGTTCTCCACATGACTATGAGGACAAACATGAGTGAAACGGTCTCAATCCAAGGGAGGAACATCAAATGGACCTAATTTGGGAACCGGAAGAGGTAAGGAGTCCGAAATGTACCTCTGTGACTCCACATTGTGGAAACTCACTTGTAGTGTATAAGATGAACTAGATGGACCCATACTTACCCAAACATGGATTAATAGGTTCTCCACATGACTATGAGGACAAACATGAGTGAAACGGTCTCAATCCAAGGGAGGAACATCAAATGGACCTAATTTGGGAACCGGAAGAGGTAAGGAGTCCGAAATGTACCTCTGTGACTCCACATTGTGGAAACTCACTTGTAGTGTATAAGATGAACTAGATGGACCCATACTTACCCAAACATGGATTAATAGGTTCTCCACATGACTATGAGGACAAACATGAGTGAAACGGTCTCAATCCAAGGGAGGAACATCAAATGGACCTAATTTGGGAACCGGAAGAGGTAAGGAGTCCGAAATGTACCTCTGTGACTCCACATTGTGGAAACTCACTTGTAGTGTATAAGATGAACTAGATGGACCCATACTTACCCAAACATGGATTAATAGGTTCTCCACATTACTATGAGGACAAACATGAGTGAAACGGTCTCAATCCAAGGGAGGAACATCAAATGGACCTAATTTGGGAACCGGAAGAGGTAAGGAGTCCGAAATGTACCTCTGTGACTCCACATTGTGGAAACTCACTTGTAGTGTATAAGATGAACTAGATGGACCCATACTTACCCAAACATGGATTAATAGGTTCTCACATGACTATGAGGACAAACATGAGTGAAACGGTCTCAATCCAAGGGAGGAACATCAAATGGACCTAAATTTGGGAACCGGAAGAGGTAAGGAGTCCGAAATGTACCTCTGTGACTCCACATTGTGGAAACTCACTTGTAGTGTATAAGATGAACTAGATGGACCCATACTTACCCAAACATGGATTAATAGGTTCTCACATGACTATGAGGACAAACATGAGTGAAACGGTCTCAATCCAAGGGAGGAACATCAAATGGACCTAATTTGGGAACCGGAAGAGGTAAGGAGTCCGAAATGTACCTCTGTGACTCCACATTGTGGAAACTCACTTGTAGTGTATAAGATGAACTAGATGGACCCATACTTACCCAAACATGGATTAATAGGTTCTCACATGACTATGAGGACAAACATGAGTGAAACGGTCTCAATCCAAGGGAGGAACATCAAATGGACCTAATTTGGGAACCGGAAGAGGTAAGGAGTCCGAAATGTACCTCTGTGACTCCACATTGTGGAAACTCACTTGTAGTGTATAAGATGAACTAGATGGACCCATACTTACCCAAACATGGATTAATAGGTTCTACACATGACTATGAGGACAAACATGAGTGAAACGGTCTCAATCCAAGGGAGGAACATCAAATGGACCAATTTGGGAACCGGAAGAGGTAAGGAGTCCGAAATGTACCTCTGTGACTCCACATTGTGGAAACTCACTTGTAGTGTATAAGATGAACTAGATGGACCCATACTTACCCAAACATGGATTAATAGGTTCTCACATGACTATGAGGACAAACATGAGTGAAACGGTCTCAATCCAAGGGAGGAACATCAAATGGACCAAATTTGGGAACCGGAAGAGGTAAGGAGTCCGAAATGTACCTCTGTGACTCCACATTGTGGAAACTCACTTGTAGTGTATAAGATGAACTAGATGGACCCATACTTACCCAAACATGGATTAATAGGTTCTCCATGATATATGAGGACAAACATGAGTGAAACGGTCTCAATCCAAGGGAGGAACATCAAATGGACCTAATTTGGGAACCGGAAGAGGTAAGGAGTCCGAAATGTACCTCTGTGACTCCACATTGTGGAAACTCACTTGTAGTGTATAAGATGAACTAGATGGACCCATACTTACCCAAACATGGATTAATAGGTTCTACACATGACTATGAGGACAAACATGAGTGAAACGGTCTCAATCCAAGGGAGGAACATCAAATGGACCTAATTTGGGAACCGGAAGAGGTAAGGAGTCCGAAATGTACCTCTGTGACTCCACATTGTGGAAACTCACTTGTAGTGTATAAGATGAACTAGATGGACCCATACTTACCCAAACATGGATTAATAGGTTCTACACATTACTATGAGGACAAACATGAGTGAAACGGTCTCAATCCAAGGGAGGAAAACAGTGAGAGATTTATATTGTAGCCGATCCCGATGATGTAGCAAGGCATGAGGACGGACCACACAAAACAACCCATCTTGTCCGAGAGTCCTGTGCCTAGAGGGGGCCGTTTTGGGGTGGCTAGACCCAAGACGACGGCGCCAAAGAAGTATGGTAAGCCCACAAATTCAGCCCAGAGAGCGCAGATGAAGAGCAAAACACACACAACAGAGAGATACGAGGCCTTGAGAGAGTGTCCTTCGGGTGTTCTCTTCATCATCCACTGCATCATTGGTCGGAACACGTATACTATTGACACTATCATTAGCATCTGTGAGGCCGACAATAAAATGGCCCGGTTTTTGTCCGGTAAGGTCACGTTAATTTTGATGGCGATGTTAAGCATGAAGAAGCTCCACGAGAGGCAGTCATGCACCATCATGGAGGCGAGCGCTAACCTCCCTGGCTCTGTGTTCAACATCTTTAGGCTCGACAACACTCCGTATCCCACCTGAAAGAACATGGTCGACTCCACGATCGCCACGTGGTGGAACTCCGCAGGAGGGACCCCTACGGGCCCACCTCCGAGCTTCCTGGAGATCAAGATGGCAGCGAATTGGCCCCACACGAAAGGTATGAGGAAAAGCAGGATGCCGTTGATGAATGCTAATTTGCCTACTCTCTTGATCATCCTCGTGTCTACTTGGCATGTTGTGATGTAGCAAATGAAAAGGAAACAAATGGCTTCGTAGGATTCGATTATGAAGACGCTTCTCGTGTAGAAAAATGTCGACATGTACTGCTTGTTACGTCCTATCACTGACGGTCCTAGGCAGATCCCAGCCTGCAACCATGTATAAAATCATAATAAATCACCAAGCAATGTTTTTTTTTTTGTTTAGTATTTTTAGCTAGGAATGTTCAGATCCTAAGCATGTGTACCACGATCTGAGTGAGGAATGCAAATTTTCCGAAAGGCCGAAGAAGAAACTGAAAAAAGGCGGAAAATAAGGAGACGACAGAAATCTGAAGGAGAAGAAGGGGAAGAGCAAAGTTGATGGGGTTCTCTCCGCGACCAATTCCCATGGAGCTTGCACCGACCCATCGCTCGCAGATCCAATCTACTCCTCCGTAGTTATAAGTGTGGGTTATATTTGCCATTTTCTCCTTCTTGGTATGTATGAGTCAAACCATAGAGGGAGAGGGAGAGGGAGAGGGAGAGATTGTTTAAGACTTCATTCAACAAGGGATGAAGAAAGTATAACTAATCCTTTTTTCTTTTCTTTCTTTTCCTTCTCTCTAGCTATATTTAGGGGTTTGATTGTTGATGTTGTTTATCCTCGTGAGAGGTCATCCTACTTTTAAGGTTTCTTCTATGTGTGGTCCAAAGATCTTGTGCATGAAGATTATCATTATAACTTGAGATTGATTGATGGCAGAAACATGCATATACCTACATGTTGATGTAATAAAAGTGAACGTAGTTATAAAAAGGGTGGTGACTGGTGACACATCAACAACACTTGTACAAATCGAAATCGTTAGACTATTATGTTATGATTAATCGTTCGTTGTGATTATACAATGTTAGTTATCAGTATGGATCGTACGTTTACATATATAACACAATGTTTTCTTCAGAAAACGCCAGCTAAACTGTAAATACTTTTTTGGCTATAGTCTATCTTTTATATTAAATGGTCATGATTTAGGTAAAGTTCATGATTAGCTGACCAAAATTAAACAGGGGAAACTTAGAGATGGCATTTTTCCATTTTTCCATTTTTATTTTACGGTTAGAAAGTCAACGCAAATTCCTTGGAGAAACAGCGAAAACAGTTTGGAGTCCTAAAAAAGAAACATGTGTACCTTCTTCCCCAGCTCAACAGACTCTCTGTTTTGCTCAGTTATTAATTAGCATTATGCTGAAATCAAAAACAAAACTGGATATAGAGGATGAACAACGTTGGGTCAAAGTAATAACAAACGTTTCTTATCTCTCAACAAAAGAAAAGAAGAAGAAGAAGAAGAAGAAGAAGAAAATGAACATTAGTGTTGGAAATGGAACAAGAGGTTTTGTATGTGAGCCATGGTCTGGATCAAACTCTGCCGGTTTGTTTAGAGGAGATGACCCGTTGAAGCATTCGACTCCTCTTCTTCTTCTTCTCATTTCTCTCGTTTCTTCTCTCTCTTCCTTATTCCAGGCTCTTCTCCGTCCTCTCGCAAACGTCGACTTTGTCACTCAGATTCTGGTATTTATTATTCATCATTCCCTTTTCTTTATCCATGAATTTTGTAATTGTTATAAGCGATTTATTAATTGTACTATATGGAAACAGGTTGGGATATTCTTAGGACCCTCAGCTTTGGGACAAAACATAGATTTAGTAAGAAGACTATTCAACACAAGAAGCTTCTTCATAATAGAATCATTAGAAGCAGTATCCTTCATGTTCATCTCATACATAAGCACAGCTCAAGTAGACATGGGAGTTATAAAGCGTGGAGGAAAGCTCGCAGTGATCAACGGCTTCTCGCTTTTTATATTTCCTTACGCGGTGGCCTCAGTGACAGCTACCGTAATCACCAGCAACATACGTGGAAGCGTGGCCAAAACCAAGCCCGGGCAGCTTCACGACGTGCTAACAAACGTGTCGGTCGTGTATTTTCAGGTGGCCTATTCGGTTTTATCGAACCTCAAGATGCTAAACTCGGAGCCCGGGAGGTTAGCCCTCTCCTCCATAATGGTGGCTAACTGCTTCGTCTGGGGCTTCTTCCTCCTTGTCATTACCTTTATCAGTTTCTTGCAACACAGAGACTCCAAAGCCACTTATCTGCCTACCTTCTCAAAGGTCCTTCTGATCCTTGGGATAATTGTTGTGTGCCGACCAATCTTCAAGTGGATAGTGAGAAGAACACCTCCGGGGAAGAAACTAAAGGGTTCGCATCTATGCCTTATTTGCGTCATGTTGTGCACCACCACTTTCCTCGCCGAAACCGTTGGTTTCCCTTACATAGTCGGATCTGTGGTTCTCGGTCTTGTCACTCCTAAGACGCCTCCTCTCGGCACTGGTCTCAACGACAAGATCGGTTGCTTCACTCGTGCGGTTCTTATGCCCTGTTACGTCATCGGGATCGGTAACAAAGTCGATTTCTTGTCCTTCACACAACGCGACGTCATAACTCTGGAGCTGCTTTTCTTCACCGTCAATGCTGCAAAGTTTGCCTCCATCGTCCTGCCATCGCTTTACTTCAAGGTTCCTTTATCCCACGCCGCCATTGTCGGATTCATTGTCTGCATACAAGGGATCTACGATGTCCAAATCTTCAAACAGTTGTTGAACTACAAGGTCAACTCTTTAACCTTATGTAGCTTTCGTGTGAAGCAAGAAAACAAAAAAAAATGATCTTTAATTAACTAAAAATTGTTTTAAGGGATGCAGAACATAAGCCAGGAAGCATTTGGGATAATGGTGGCCTCTGCGATGGTTCACTCGACCATTATCACGGCCATAGTCAAGAACCTCTACGGCTGGGCGCAGCGGAAACACATCACTTACCGGCGACAAACCGTTCAGCACTACGAACCAAACAGTCCTCTCAACGTCCTCGCTTGTTTCTACCACCGCCAAACCGTTCCTTCCATCCTCACCGTCTTGGAGCTCTCCACTTGTCCCTCCAGCGCCTCTTCACTCTCCGTCGTTTCCGTCAATCTCGAAGAGCTCGAGCACCATAACGTCCCTCTCCTAATTCAACACCAATCCGATCAAAACGACGACGCGTCAATGTCCCCCAACCGCAGAGATCAGATCTCCAAAGCCTTCAAGAATTTCGAAAACAGACATGTTCTGCAGGAAAACGTTTCCGTCGAATGCTACACCGCAGTGGCGCCGAGCAAGACGATGCACGAGGACGTCTGCGCGCTGGCCTTCGACAAAGGAACCGATCTCATTATCATCGGGGTAGATGACAGGTCAGCAGCAGAGCGACGTCTTTGCCGCAACGTATTTAGCGGCTCGCCGTGCTCTGTGGCGGTTCTGTTGGACCAAGGACGTCTTCCAGATTTCAAGAAGATTGGATCGGCGATGAAGCAGACGAGGATCAACATGTGCGTGATATTCCTCGGTGGACCGGACGACCGCGAGACGCTGGCGTTTGCGGTTAGGATGATGAACCACCCATGCGTATACCTAAACGTTCTTAGAATCGTAGACGGAGAAAACGTTTCACAGCTAAACGACGTCATAGAGAGGAGGCTCGATTTCAAAGCCGTCGAGAAGTTCCGTCTTGACACGTTGAACAAACACAACGTCTCCTTACGAGAGGTAACCGAATCGCTCACTCAATAATGAATCCCTAAATTTCTCTTTAATCCGGTTTAGTTTGACTTAATTGTGTGTTCTTTGAAACTTTGATGTGTTAGGTAGAGGTAAAGGAAGCGAGTGATCTGGTGAACCTAATTAGGGAAGAAGGAAGCAGTTACGATCTGATAATGGTTGGGATAAGACACGAAGAGAGCTTCCAAGTGCTTCAAGGGTTATCGATATGGAGTGAGAACGAGGAGCTTGGAGAGATCGGAGATCTGCTCGTCTCCAGAGATCTCAAGCTCACCGCATCTGTTTTGGCCGTACAACAACAGCTTCCATCCGTCGTTGAACATGTACATGGAATGGTTTGATAGCATAACGTTTTACACAGCTTTTAGGAAACACGCATGTGTGAAGGAAGCTCTTCCCTTTATTTTAGAAACACTATACATCGATTTTTACAACAAACAAACCCCTTACTTGGGACTCTAATTTGATTCTTTTGGGGTCGTCGGTTAGTCTTCATGGTCCCATAGATCAGCCACGCTACGGAATGGACCTTCCGTCTTGTTGACGAAGGTATCCTCGCCGTCCATCACTCGTTTCTGCATCGAATAGGCCAAAGAGGACCGAAAGTGTGAACAGATGATCAAAACTGAGTCAAATGACCATAAATTTGAAAGGCAAATGTTATTATCAGTTTTCTCGTTCAACAACTCAGAAGCGAACAAGACATATACTGTACGTGCTGTTTCTCACTAACGTAAACAGACTATTGTTCCCTAAGCGAAAGATAATTCCAAGAACTCAGAAGCAGAGTAGACAAATAAATGCTCTGTTTCTTACTCTGTTCTGTTCCTCACTAACAGAAATAACGGTAATAAACTAATTGTCTCTCTAAAGAAGAGTAATTGCGATTTAATTTTGTTGTTGTTGCTCATCTTATCACTTTTCAATGAGCAATAGTAGGTCCGTAACAGATCAATTTGAAAGATTTCTGGTTGGTAAATAGAGAAGTGAACCTGGTCAGGGATGCTGCTGAGAGCTTGAAAGTCTTGTTCAGGGATCACCCAGTCGAACACTTTGATGTTCTCTTTGATCCTGTCCGGATTCAGTGACTTGGGGATGACACTTGTTCCTCTCTGCAGACCCCATTTCACAAGAACCTGTCCAGGGGTCTTGTTCAGCTTCTTCGCTATCCGATCAACAGTCTGATCGTGTATCAGATCTCTCCCGCCTTCTTGAGATCCCAGCGGCGAATAGGCCTTCCATGTTAACAATAATTTCACTACCATTATCAGATGGCCTAGTGAAATGCTAATGGCCAACTTAAGCAGTGAAGAAAGGATCATATTACTACTTACAGTAACATGGATACCATTCATTTTGCAGAGTTGGAGCATTGGATCGTTTCTCCAACCAGGATGCATTTCCATCTATAAGAAGCTGCTCAATACATGTCATTTATATGATATCAGGAGGTAGATATGTATATACAGACCTGGCAGACGGAAGGGATCAACTCGGCGAATCCAAGCAGCTTATTGAGCTTAGTGAGGGTGAAGTTACAAACGCCAATGTTCCTGACAAGACTGGCCTTGGCAAGCTTCTCCATTTCTCTCCAAACTCCTTCCATGTCAAAGTCAAGAACGTCCCCTGCCTTTGGTGGCTTACTGGCTCCTTCTCTTAGCCTGAAAGGCCAGTGGATCTGCACCAAAATCCATTTTCAAATAGACAGAAAGAAACAATAAAAAGATAGACGAAAACTTGCAACATATATTTCTAACATAACATACCAGGTAAAGATCAAGATACTCTAATTGAAGCTCTTGAAGGGTATTTTGGAAAGCAGGACGCACTCTCTCAGGAGATAACTCTGTGCACCTTTTTATTTTTCACACACAAAAAACAGCGGTTATGGTCTTATGGATGGCGCCAAAGAGTGAAGCAAAGAAAGGAATCGTTTTTAATTTTGATTACCAAAGCTTGGACGTCACGAAGAGGTCCCTCCTCTCAATACCAGCGTGCATCGCCCTTTTCATCCCAGCACCGACCTTAGTTTAAGAAATAAGAACTTTCAGACAATACAAGCAAGTGAAGTGAAGTGAAGAGACAAAGAGAGAGACACCTCAATCTGATCACCATACTCCCAAGCTGTATCTATGTGCCTATAACCACCCTACAAAATCCACGCAAGATTTTATTATAAAGAAGAAGTAAGCAGTGCTTGTCTAAATTAACTCTTACTAGAACCCAGATTCCACTCTTAATCAAGCAGAAATTAGGGTCTGAAAAGATATTTCAAATTCAGAAGGGATCACCTCGACGAGTGCAGTGAAAACGGCGTCGGTGGCTTCAGAGCCAGATCGCCACGTGCCCAATCCAACGGCTGGGATTTTGTGGCCGCTCAAGAGTCGAAACGACTCCGTCTTCTGCCCTTCCGGCGTAAACGTCGCATGTGCCATTGGCCCGCTCTCTCTTCTCCTCTCCTCTTCCAGCTAAATCCCGGCTCCTACTTATGCAGAAGCAGCCAGAATAATACACAGTACACCGCCACGTGGCAGATCACACACACTCTAGGAGTACACGCGGCGGCTGACAACCATCGAGGAGCCGCGTGTCCGTGCCAACCCATTCTCTCCCACACCTCTTTAGGCTTTAGCTTCTCAGAAATGGATCACTTGTTATCTTGTTGTCGACATCACACACACACACTCTTTGCAATGCTCTGCTGCTGCTGGTTGAGTTCAACTCCAAATGAAATTGGTATGGGCTCCAAAGTGGACCAGCCCATAAATAAATAAACCATGGCCCACAATATCTTTTGCGACCGCGTACCAACAAATATTCCTCAACCAACATCTTAATACACTTTTTGGCTTTGGGATGCCCCCACATCTTAATATATTTCAACTTCAAGCTGAAATGGGTAAAAGTATATTAAAAGAGGAAGATGCATCTCCTTTTTCATTCGTTTGATATAATTAGAGAGCTTCTACGGTTCACATTTGTTTATCTAATCTTTATAGATACAATATTTACTTAACTACTTTATCATAAATGTTTTATTTCACTCTGTTCAAAGATGCAGCATAACTTCCAAGTACAAGCTTCAACAAGTAAAAAGTCCATACACAATAATATTTCTGAGACTAAAATAGTATTTTATTAAAAAGCAAAAAAAAATCTTATTGGTTTTGAAATTATTTACACCTATTAAAAAGATATTGATGTATGCCATGATTTGACAAGACATGCTTTTTAATAAGATAATAATATATTTTCGCTTGTTGATATGACTAATTATTATTATTTTCGTCCAACTTTTTAAACGAAAAAATGCTAAAAATTTAGTTGACTAATTATTCGCAAGTATAGTTTTCATTTTTCATTTGCATAGGCGTATTTTGGTGAAAGGTAAAAGTTGGAAACAATAGACTAATTTGAATTGTTGACAAACATTTAAAATTTGATGTCGCTCAGTTTTCGTCGCTACGGCTTTGCCATCGTCTGTCTACACTTTCCATTACCCTCAGTAAATGGCGCTCCGTCTTTAGCGCTCTCCCCGAGGCCTCCGCTTTCTTCGATTTCTCACCGCTCTGACTCAAGTAAGACGCTCCCGAAACGCCGTTTTGTGTTGGTCAAGCTCGAAATCCAGTTTTAGTGGTCGATTCTCTGGCATTTAGGTTTCAGTAGTTGTCTATTGCTTTTTGCTAGGGTTTTATTCGTTTATCTATCCGCCTCTGGTTGTGTCTTCTCCGATTACCATGTCAAAACTGATTTCGACTCTTGCACGTCCGATTTTTCGGAAACTCAAACGTCGGATTTTGATTTCCTTTGAACGTTTTCACGCAAAACGCTTAATCGCGTGGTTCCTAGCGTGCTACTGAATTTTGGAGGAGTAAGCAGATTTTGCTTTGTCTAGGTTTGGGGTTTTCGGTTTGTTAAACTATGTGGCTTTTTGATTAGCCAGCCGACTGAAGTTGCATACATTTGCATTTGCGTTTAGTGCTTTGAATGAATGTCAGTCTCAGTCATCATGGAATTTTCCTTTAATTTTAAAATTTACACCAAACGTGTTGTGGCTTCCTCAAGCTGCCTGTTCATTGTATTAATGCACACCATCTGTTTGAAGGTTTTATTCTTTCTTTTCTGTAGATATATTGACATTTGCGTCTCTCTTGATTGATTACAAGGTTGGAATGATAGGACCACCCACTTTAACATTTTGATACAAATCACTGACTTTCTAATATTTCGCTCAATGTATAACAGGATGGCTCAACGGAGGGTAAACAATTCATGCAGAAACCTGACCAAAAGTCAACTAGGTGGTGTAGTATTTGGGTGCACCAAGAATACCATCAAAGAGTGTATGTCGAAACAGTTGTTTGGTGAGTGAGTCTAGCCCAAACTGTTTGTTGTATGTTGATGCTAGTTATTGTTTCTATAACTGTCCTTCCACGATAGCTGTTATCTATGATCCTGAATCCGCTGATGAATTTGACAGGTCTACCCTACAACCACATTACATACGTGCAGAAGATTGATGTAGGTTTGCCGTTGTTTCTGTTCAACTATTCTGATCGTAAACTTCATGGAATCTTTGAGGCTGCTGGTCCTGGTCAGATGAATGTTGACCCGTACGCCTGGACCTCTAATGGTTCTGAAAAAACCTCATTTCCTGCACAGGTCTCCTGATTTTCATTATATCTTTCTCTATGATACATTGTGTTAAACATTGGCTGACCATTTTAGTAGACACTTGTAAAATTCCATGCTTCTTTTATGCTTTTTCAGGTTCAAATCAGTGTTCGCTTACAGTGCGAACCCCTTTCTGAAGACAAATTTAAACCTGCCATTGAAGATAATTACTACACTTCTAAACATTTTAGGTTCGAGCTTGATCATTTCCAGACTAATAAGTTGATGTGTCTGCTAACAGCATTTGCTGTGAAACCTAAACCACCGTTGAGTACATCACACAGTAGACAGGTTTTTCACTTCATTCCACCAACTGAAACGAAAGAGAACACTAATGAGGTTAAGCCTTCTATGGATGAACCGGTGGACTGCTTGGAGGTGTCACTCGGTGAATCTGACTCCTCAGCTGCTGCTTCTCATCCTGGTTTCTCTGATAATCATCCAGACGTACACAACTCCGAACAAGAGGATAAGGATTATGTTCTTGAGAAACTGAATGATCTCGCCCTTAGCCATGCGCATCAAGACGATTGTCTCATGGAAACTGTTGACCACGTCAACATTCCAACCTGCAAGAACTTGGAAGACGGAAACACGCTTGAAGAGGAAACATGTTCAGAGGGGAAAGGAGATGGCAGTTCTCTCGTATCATCTCCTCGTCAACATGAAATAAGCCAGGTACTTTGGTATCTATGCATGGCTGCGCTTATCCACACTAGGTCTCCACTTATAATACTTAATAGTGGTACTTCCATTAATCTCGTTTGTAGTTGATGCATGAGGTGAAGGAACTCAAGGCATATGGGATGAAAAATTCGACCAAGATATGTTACTTGGAAGAGAAACTGGTAAGATTTTTGTTTAGTTAATGCTACTTATTGTGGATTTTCGTCCTTCCTGCTGGAATACTGTTTGCATTTGTGACAAACGTTCCCAGTAGAAAGAAACTGGGGAATAAATGCAATAGCCTGACATCCTTGATATTCTGCAGAACTACCCTAGTCTGAGTCTGTTCACTATAATCAGGTCTTGATGTGTAGAAAGTCATCATATCAGTAGAAATTATTCTCTGTCATTTTCAGTCTGGTATTCCACTAGTTACCGTTTGCTCCTTGTTTTTGGAACCTGTAAGCTCAACATTTACCTGTGGACATTTTTTTGTATTTCAGGATGAAGCACACAAGGAAATTTATAGATTGAGAGAGCGTTGCAACATGCTGGAGTCCATATCAGGCCCTTTAATTGCCAAAGCTGATCGTAGTGAAATGGAGATCTATTCACCAGATGATTCAAGCCTAGATCCAACGGAGGCAATTCTTCTTTTGGGCGGAATTGATGGCAGCTCTGAATCATGTTTGTCATCAGTGCAATCATATTTTCCATCCAGGAATGTTGTCAAGGCTCATAGTTCCATGAGCGGTATCCGTTCAAATGCTTCAGTGGCAAAATCGGATGGGAAAATTTACATTTTTGGAGGTGATGATGGCCGTGGCTGGTTCGACACAGGTAGGTCCTCTTTTTTATTTCTTTTTTGGAGGTGATGATGATGTGTTGACTACTTGACTATTAACGCGATAGAGCCTGTATATAACACAACACATAAATAAACCTTACAGATTTAATGAACAAACAACCAAAAGAACTACAAAAAACTGAACATGGGTAGCAAAAACCCAATGGCTCAACGATTTACAGCAAATTACTGTGTATAAATGCCATGCACTTCACTTCAGCTGTGCATATTTTTTTTAATACTAATGTCTACCACGCCTCGCTTGTTTATCTCCCTAACTAGAAAAGTCTGAGCTCTGATATCTGTTTTGGCTCTTGTCTGTTATGTTGAAGCTGAATCATATAACGAGAGTGATGGGCGGTGGAGCGTGTGCCCTCCCTTGACTGAGCGAAAAGTAAGTTTAGGTGGAGCCTCTTTGGATGGAAAAATATTTGCAATAGGAGGCGGGAATGGGATCGTATCTTTTTCAGACGTTGAGATGCTTGATCCAGATATCGGGAAATGGATCAAAACAAGGTCAATGGAGCAGAAGGTAAACGTTCTTCTCCATCCGCATGATGACATATGGTGAAAGCCAAAAGTCTGAAAAAGTTATCAATCAATTACATTTCCAATGAGAAACTTTTTGACAGAAGCTCACAGATAAAGTCATAAGAAATGTAGTATTTGCTTTGACTCACCTATTGGCTGTTGGGTTATCACTGCTGTGTGATCTCAGAGATTTGCAGTTGCAGCCTCGGAGCATAACGGTTCGATCTATGCCGTGGGTGGTTTTGATGAGAAGGAGTACCTCAAGTGAGAACATGAAAGCCCTCTCTGATGTTTTTTCCCCCTAATTTTGACACTGGAATGTGAAGCTAACAAGGACGAGGTTACTGGAAACACTCTCTTACTTATAACAGCACAGCAGAAAGGTTTGATCCAAGAGAGCACTCGTGGATGAGAATTGCATCGATGAAGTCGAGAAGAGGCTGCCATTCTCTTGTTGTTTTGAACGAGAAACTGTAAGATTCTTCTTCGAGCACACAGGGAAAATGAGATGATATAGGCTCTAAAGATGCTGTGATCATTTGCAGATATGCGATTGGTGGGTATGATGGATCGGCAATGGTATCGAGTGTAGAGGTATATGATCCACGGACAGGGACATGGACAGCTGGAGAAGCAATGAAGGAACTGAGAGGATATTCAGCAGCCGCAGTGGTTAAAGACTCAATCTATGTCATCGGAGGATACAAAGGGGAAGGAGAAGACATCTTAGACACCGTATGACTATTAGTTCTCAACACTTGAAGTGAATTTATAAAAAGAAAATCAGCATTTTACAGAATCAAATCTTTGATTTCAGGTTGAGTGTTTCAAGGAAGGTCAAGGGTGGAAAAACGTGGCTGCTTCATCCATCGGTAGGCGTTGCTTCCTATCCGCAGTAGTGCCAGTTTGAAGCTTTTACTACTCATGAGTCATGAGAGAGACACAGAGTCAATCATTGGCATTTAGGAGTTAGCACTTAGGAGGCATATCATATTTTGGGGAACATAATGGCACAATCTCGAGTTTCAGTTTGTCCATATTCCCTTGGTAGTACGTACGTTTGAGTTTGTCCAGGTTGTGTGAAAGAGAAAGGAATTTGTCTAACACGATTGAAACGCAACGTATCAGAAATCGCGTTTAAAACAAAATGTTGGGCTAAAGTCGAAAGTATGGGCCGAAACGAATAATAAAGGCTTCGAGGACAAAAGGGTAAATCCCTTACACTAGAATATCCGTATCATCATCATCTCTCTGGTGAACAATTTGGGAATCGAGTGAGAGTGAGTGATAAGAGGAGAGAAAGAGAAAGAGAGAGTGAAAAGATGCCTTGCCTTAACATCTCAACCAACGTGAGCCTCGACGGCGTCGATACCTCTTCCATTCTCTCGGAAGCAACCTCCACCGTCGCCCAAATCATCGGCAAGCCTGAGAACGTAATCTCTCTCGATATCTTACCTGTTATTCGTTTCATCTGCTCCGTCGTTGTTCATATTTTGAATTTATCCACGTTTCCTGAGTATTTCGATTTTAGGAATTCTTCATCTTCTCTGAAATTGCCTTGTGTGCGAACTCTTGTTAGTTTCTCATCGTTTTTCTATAGTCAGTCAGCAGAAATATTTGGAACCCTAAGTAATTTTAGTGAGTGAACGGGTCTCTCGTGGATCCGTCTTATTTTATGAGCTCGCATCTCCCGATTCTGAGATGAGGCTATTGACTGTTTGTCCTGTATTGGTGTTTATTTGGATATGAATCAAGCGTAAAGATATGCTTAAAAAGATGTAACAGGCATGTTCATGGAATGGTATTCAACTGGTTTGGGTGTTCATCTCTGTATTGCTAAAGTTTGTTTTCCGTTCCAACCAGAATATGATATTGGTCTGCTTTAAAGATTTATTTAGTTTTTTTTTTTAGATTTGGTTTGATTCCATTTTCCATGGTAATTTTGCAGTATGTGATGATTGTGTTGAAAGGCTCAGTGCCTATAGCATTTGGTGGGACGGAGGAGCCTGCGGCTTACGGTGAGTTGGTCTCTATCGGAGGCCTTAATCCGGATGTTAACAAGAAGCTAAGCGCTGCTGTTTCCGCCGTTCTTGAGGCTAAGCTATCAGTGCCCAAGTCTCGGTTCTTCCTCAAGTTCTATGACACCAAGGCAAGTCTCGATTCTCCCTCTCTTAGAAACTTGTTTGGTTTCACGCATCCAAGCCTCATTTAGTCATTGTTCGTTCGTTGTCTCTCTAGGCCCACCAAAGTCAAGAATATGCACAGTGTTTACATGCTTTACACCAGCACTACTAGGTCATGTCTAGGGAACAAAAACATCTTTTGTGTAAGTTCCATCACTTAAAGAGCCCTCTAACTTCTACTCTTAAACAAGCCAAATTAGATCAGTTTCAGAAAGCCATTTCGAGTCAAGAAACTCTCAACAACCCACACTACTGTTTGCATTATTATCATCCTTCTCTAGTGGCTCGTGAATCCCCAGAAGCATTCATCATCTGGATTGTTTATCCCTATAATCCTCTCTTGATATATCAAATCTATAATTATTTTCTTGTCTGGTTCATCTTGCAGGGATCCTTCTTTGGATGGAACGGGGCGACTTTCTAGTTACTAGTCTCGTGGCAGGTAAGAGATGGAAGTGATTGTCATATGCATGTTTATGAACGTGTTTGGTTTTACTGCTATTTTAGCTTCTGTATTGATCTACTCTCTCGTCCATAAAGTAACTTTCAACTATTCCCTCGTTTGTAAACATGTCTAACGTTTGATGGAGTTTGCATAAATTGATGTTTTATGCTTATTATTAAATTTCAGAGCAAACCCTGCTTCTTTCCTTCTACTCTCCTTATATTATCTTTCTGTTTATATTTCAATCATCATTGTTATAAATTATCATTTATCAATCTGTGTTATAGTAAATTAGATATCAGGATTCATCGTTTTTGAACGAACAATAGAAAAATCAGAACTGGGAAAGTGACTTAATAATTCAAATAAAAGCCGAATTCGATGAAGAATTAACAAAAAAGTCGACGAAGAGACATACTCTAGATCGTTTTGATCGAGTCCCATCACTCTTTAACTTGGAAATTCAGCTGTCGGTTATCTGAAATCCATGAAGTAATACAATTAGCCTTATTTCCACGAAGAAACATAAGGAAGAAGCAGAGGATGAATTACTCGCCGGAGTAATGACGGAAAAACTTACCGGCGGAGGGAATCGACGACCGACGTTAGATTTTACAGTCTGAGAGGTAAGAGGTTTAGGGAAAGGGTTCAAGAGACGGCAAATGAAGATAAACGTGTCTGAATAAACGAATCTCGTAACTCTGGGTTTGAAGTTCTCATTCTTTATTAGGCTTCATAACTGGGCTTTGTAATTGGGCTTGTTGTATATGTAAGAGATAAAGATCATTCATTCTATCACTTTTCTAGATAAGAGTAGAAATTAGGATGATGCTACTCAATATATATGCATGTATGTTACTTTCTTACAAAAAAAAAAACATGTAAAATTTTGCTTTCTGGATGATGAAAATGCCTCCCCATGATAAGAATCTGGAAATTTTCTCTACAAGTTTTTTTTTTTTAACCAAAGGCTTCTCTACAAGTTGATTTGAAAAGTGAGAAAGTGCCTTGATAATTTACAATCAAATGTTTAGTAATCTGGTTGAACTGTTTGAAAGTGCCTTGATACTAGGTTAGTTTCTACCCCATCTGTCTTAGATTTATCTCTGTTTTCGATTAGTTCTTATTCTAGTTTGTATTATCCCTACTTCTTTGGAGGTTTTTAATTGGTATTTTGTATGTTTTTGTTTTCTTTTGGAACACCATGTCATTATTGATGTAAATTAGAGTTTTTCTATTACTTTCTTAAAATAAATTAGAGTTTTTCATAATTTAGTTGCGAATTTTTTTATTTTTTTAATAACATGCATTGCTATGTTAATAATTTAAAAAAAAAAATTGGAGAAAACGAATTTACAAAAATTTCCAAACCGAAAACAAAAATGAACCTATTTCATTTTATTCGCATTGTATTTCCGGAAAGATCTCGTTCCAAATTTCATTTTTTTGCCGTTTTCATAAAATTGATGATAATAAAGTCTCGACCTACACATATGTTTGATAAACAATCAAAAAATCAAAATAAACATATCTTCTAGGAGCAGCCAAAATAAATAAAATATTCCATCGAGATAAAATATAATTTAATCTTCTTTTAAGAAAATCAAAGAGACAGAAACTCGGAAAACAAGCTTCGTATATTTCTCGCTGCAATTTAGGCGGTTGTATTTCTTCTTCCTTCTTCCTCCTTCTTCTTCTCTCTCTCTCAATCTCTGCTTATCAATCTTCGGCTGCAACAGTGAAGGCACCCAAACAAAAATCGCGTTTACACTTTACCTAATTCGGTAAGGAAACAAAAAGAAATCCCAACTAGTTTCTACTTTGCTGATGCATGTATGCTTGCAACATCATTCTGAGGAGATGATTTCTTTTCCGAATTTTGAATTTTTTTTGTGACGTTTGGGGATTTGTAGATCCGTCTCTTATCTGCTAGTAGCGGCGATTCCGTAAAATAGACATGGGGCAAAGCGAGGATTGTTGTTCGACTCAGCTAATCAATGGGGATGGTGAATTCAACGTGGAGGGTTTGGAGAATTTCGTGAAGAAGACGAAGCTCTCTAATTGTGGACTTTCTTATGCTGTTGTTGCAATCATGGGTCCTCAGAGTAGTGGTATGTGATTTTCACTGATTTTGTTTTTTTCTTCTTCTTTTTGAGTTTGGGATTGGAGTTTGTGGCTCTTGGCTAACTCTAATCAAGAATTTCAAGATACAAATTTTGACTTAAGGTTGAGATATGTTGCAAAGTCTAAGCCTTTGATTTGCTTATTGTGGTATGTGTTTTTTTGTATTTTTTGGTGATAAACAGGGAAGAGTACACTTTTGAATCATCTTTTTAATACCAGTTTTAGGGAAATGGATGCTTTTGCGGGAAGGTCAGCGATTGTCAATAATCAATTTTTGTTTTATATCTTTTTGTGGCAATGCCATTTTTTTGGTGTTGAAATGTGTTTGACTTGGTAATTTGTAGGAGTCAAACAACCAAAGGTATTTGGATGGCTAGGTGTGTTGGAATTGAGCCTTTTACACTTGCCATGGATTTAGAGGGTACTGATGGTAGAGAAAGAGGCGAGGTAAGATGAATAACGATTCGCATCACATTCAAAGCATATGGTTTTGGCTAACTTGCAGACTTATATTTTCGTATGTATTTCTTCCTATTACTGTTGTCAACGGTTGCCACACTTTTCAGGATGACACTACATTTGAGAAACAAAGTGCCCTGTTCGCACTGGCGGTTGCAGATATTGTACTGATAAACATGTGAGTCTCTGTATTTTGTTGGCTCTTCTTCTGAAACTATTACTGATGTATTTGTTACATGGAAGCAGAAAGTTGACGGCCATATTAGAACAAAGATGTAATTTCAGATTTACCACCCCTCGATACTTTTATATTTGATAATTTTTTCCAAAAATTAAGTACTGTGTTAAAGTTGGATTTGAGTGAACTTAGCAAAGATCTACGAATACAATTGTGATGTATTTTTAGACATACGTAGATACCATTTTCTGCTAGATTGTTAATGGATTAATGAACTCCATAGGTGGTGCCATGACATCGGAAGGGAACAGGCTGCCAACAAACCATTACTGAAGACAGTTTTCCAGGTACTGTATCATGATGTGCTTACATATGGAACCTTATCTTCAATCTATAGGTTTGATAAATTGGTCATTGTTGCTTTTGTAGGTCATGATGCGATTGTTTAGCCCTCGGAAAACAACTCTTCTTTTTGTCATACGTGATAAAACAAAGGTTTGGATTTTGCAATTGAATGTGATTCTTGATGGTGAAGTCATATTTCTTAGATTGACATATGCTTTTGTCCTTAGACTCCAATAGAGCTGCTTGAACCTGTTCTAAGAGAAGATATTCAGAAGGTAACACACACACACTCTCTCTCTCTCTCTTTCAGTTTCTTTTTATTTACTGTTTTCTCGTCTTTTATTTGGGTACTTATTATGGTTTATTGCAGATATGGGATTTAGTTCGCAAGCCTGAAGCACATAAGAATACACCTCTAAGTGAATTCTTCAATGTAAGGAGATACTCCTACCGCACTGACGATGCTTCTTATGATGAATTTCTATCTGATTAATGTTGTATTGTTACCAATTTTTTCATGACTACACCTGCCTGTCTTTTCCTTATATGATAATTGGTTCAATATATGCTTGTAGGTGGAGGTCGTTGCCTTATCCAGCTATGAAGAGAAAGAAGAAGTGTTTAAGAAAGAGGTATTCTTCTGATATATTGATATGTAAAACACATGTGTTTTTAAGCATCAAAGCAAACCTAAGACCGATTCGATTCCCTTGATTCGTGCAAACTTGGATATAGGTTGCTGCGCTAAGGCAGAGGTTTTTCCATTCTATTTCACCTGGGGGACTTGCTGGTGATAGACGTGGTGTAGTTCCAGCTTCAGGATTTTCTTTCAGCTCCCAGGAGATTTGGAAAGTTATAAAAGAGAATAGAGACTTGGACCTTCCTGCTCACAAGGTCTTCTCTTCACTAAAATCTATGTTGTTGAACTATGTTTCCTGATCTTGTGACTTACTGTTGTTTTCTTTCACGTTTGCAAGGTAATGGTTGCTACTGTTCGGTGTGAAGAGATAGCCGATGAGAAGCTACAACACTTGGCAACCGATGAGGTGTGCTTCTGTGGTCTCCTTACCTACTATAATTGTTTCTTGCTGATTTAGATATTTTGTGAGACATTATGGGGTAAACTTTTTTTAGAGTTGGTTGGAGTTGCAAAAAGCTGTAGAAGGTGGTCTTGTTCCTAGTTTTGGCAGAAAGCTTAGTTCTATCCTTGAAAAATACTTCTCAGAGTAAGCTCCTCTTTTTTGGTTCCACAAGTATATAATTCCGAGCAAAGAAATTTTGCCTAACCTTGTTTATATTACCTGTTCTTAGATACGACGCAGAGGTAATATACTTTGATGAAGGAGTAAGAAAAGAAAAGCGTCTACAGCTGAAATCTAAAGCTTTGGATGTAAGTATTCCTCCGGCTTTGTGTTTGCATTGTTACTTATGATGATTGATTATTGTGCCTCTAATTTTGACTATTCTCCAAATTTCCAGTTTGTGCATTCTGCTTATGCTAGCATGTTGGGACATCTACGATCCAATGCTTTGGAATCCTTTAAGATCCGACTGGAACAGTCTCTAAATCAAGGAGAAGGGTTTGCAAATGCTGTGCGGGACTCCCGACAATCTTGTCTGCTTGTGTTTGACAAAGGATGTAAAGGTGAGTCTTCCTACGACAATAGTAGAGACTCCTTGTCTCCTTCTGAGAAACAAATTGTTTCGGCCAAATATTACAATAACTTTAACACGAGACTACCGCCGTTTATAAATTGTGTCCATGCCTTTAGATGTTGCGGTTAAACAAGCGACTTGGGATGCATCAAAAATCAGAGAGAAACTTTGTCGTGACATTGATTCTCATGCATCTTCTGCTCAGACTGCTAAACTATCTGAATTAACTGCCAACTGCGAGGTTCTGTTTTGGTTTTCTCTTCTTCTGACTTCTTAGCTGTTAAGGGCTCGTATAATTATTTTCTTTGCTTCATGGTGTTTTACAGAAACGGCTAAGTAAAGCACTGAGCGAACCTGTCGAGTCTTTGTTCGAAGCCGGTGGAAAAGAGACGTGGCCTTCCATTAGGACACTTCTCAAACGGGAGACAGAAACAGCTGTTACAAATTTTCTGGATGATGTCACTGGTTTTGAGCTAGATCACACTACAATTGATGCTATGGTTCAGAATCTAAAGGACTATTCTCAGAGTTTAGTGGAGAAAAAGGCGAGAGAAGAAGCTGCCAAAATTCTGATCCGAATGAAAGATAGGTAAGAAAAAGATCAGACTAGGCTCCTTTTAATAGCCTCTTTTTAAGTTTTCTCTGCTTGATATTATTCCAAACACATGTCAGGTTCTCAACAGTCTTCAGTCATGACAAAGACTCAATGCCACGGGTCTGGACTGGAAAAGAGGATATTACAGCAGTCACAAAAGATGCTCGCTCAGAGGTAACTTTATAGAATTAATAGTTAATGAGGCTAAGTTGATGTCATGAAACTCTCTCTCCATCTAATGATATCCTGCAGGCTTTAAGTCTTCTGTCTGTGATGGCGGCAATACGTTTGGATGAAAGACCGGACAAAATTGAGAGCACTCTTTTCTCTACTCTCATGGGTGGTACTGTTTCCGTTGCATCTTCCCGCAACAGAAGCTTAGGAACTTCTACGGATCCACTTGCATCCAGCTCTTGGGAAGAGGTAAACACAGTCTGATACAGAGATTTCTAGTATAGTCTGGTTGATAAATGTGACTATTATTGAGGCATCACACTACGTGGAACACAAAATTTACCAAATTACTCCACTTAATAAGTTAGCATTGGGGCACATGTGATGGTAAGTCAAATAAAAATACAAATGTTTGGTTTTGTGGATGCAGGTTCCTCCAAAAGACGTGCTACTGACGCCAGTACAATGTAAGTCTCTGTGGAGACAGTTCAAATCTGAGACCGAGTATACCGTAACCCAAGCTATCTCGGCACAGGTGATTTTGCATGTCTAACTCAGATTTTCCATGTGTTGTATATACATAATATAATCAGTGGTATGTGCTTTCATTTCTACTCTACAGGAAGCTCACAAGCGGAATAACAACTGGCTTCCACCGGCTTGGGCGATTGTGTTGATGATTGTCCTTGGTTTCAACGAATTCATGCTGCTCTTGAAGTAAAGTTCAATATCTTTTCACTCCTTTAAGTTGCATTCTAGATTCTCCGCAAGAGTTTCAGCTAGTTGAAGATTCATTGGCATGTTTTCATATCTATGGAACAGGAATCCTTTGTACCTCTTAGGCTTCTTTGTGGCGTTTTTACTCTCCAAAGCCTTATGGGTGCAGCTTGACGTTCCTAGGGAGTTTCAACATGGCGCAGTAAGCTCTCATTACTTTAAATCCTCGAACTGTTTCGAACACAAGACATTTATCTTTAACACCATGTTTCTTGCATCTTTTAGCTTGCTGGAGTACTTTCCATCACGTCAAAGTTTCTTCCAACTGTTATGAATCTTCTAAGAAAGCTCGCGGAAGAAGCGCAAGGGAAAACAACTCAAGAAGCGCCAGAATACTCAACTTCCCAAATCTACAGACACCAATCTCCATCAAATACAATAACAGAATCTGTCTCATCAAGCATATCATCATTGGGTGATGATGATGCAGAATACTCGAGCCCTGCACCGGTTCAGAGACGAAACACCCAAAACGTTCAAGAAACAGAGATCTCTGAAATGTAACCATGCAAGATTTACCATTAGAACAAGTAAGCCATATCGGGTTCTGACAATGTTCTTCAGAAATATCGTGCTTTAGTATATAAGTTAGTGTCTTGACTTGAAACGGAAATCATATTAGTATCATTCTGAATAAAACCTTTGAAGAAATAAGTTGCTCTTATTTGAATCTTGGATAAGCTTTCCAAATAAAGTACATTTCCTTGAGGCTGAGCGAGGAAAAAAGTGCAGAGCTTTGGAATCTAAATGGACAATAATTTGAGAAGAAGCTTGTTGACGTCTGAAAACTAACCAAAACAGTACATTACAAAACTAACCAACTATCGTATATTCACTAACATGGACAAAGTATTGTGGATACTTTTTTCGACAAACACTTGTCCACGGGCAATTTTACACACATCATACATACAAAACCATCCATCATAGTATTTCTTAAGAGTACAAATCAGAAAGCATATTTTGAGGATTCAATATAGAATGTGATCTAGAAAAGGAGAAGAAGAACAAAGATTGTTAATATTTTTTACTTTATTTATCTCGTTACCGTTGGAGGTGACGACGTTGATTGGAAAAGGAACTTGATTTAGAATTATCATGAGAGGATGTTCGTAGAGATGAAAAAAAAAACACACACACATTAATTAGTTTGAATCACAACCACAATCTTTTAATTTCCGTACAAATCAAACGGTAACTAGAACAGTTTTTTCTTCTTTACAAAAAAAAAAAAAAAAAAAAAAAAAAAAAAAACTAGAACAGTTTTTTCTTCTTTTTAGTTAGAGGACACAATGGAATTAAGAAAATTATACAGTAGAAGAAGTCCCTCAAAAGCTTGAAGTCTCTCTTTTTCTGTAAAAATATGTTGGAAAGTCTCTTATATAAATGTAAATCACTCGGTATTATATAAATACTAGATCGCGTATACGCGGGTTATTATACAATTTTTGAAATAAATCATAGAAAAATATTAAATAAATTTGACACTTTAAAATTACGTAGATTAATATTAAAAACCCGATAAAAGACCTCTAAATAATATTATATTGGTTTTATTTTTACATTTTTATTATAATTGACATATTTTCTGAATTCATGATACGAAAAATGAATTAATTTGTTATCTTTTACTTTTATCTAAAATTGAATGACTTACTCATGTGTAAGTGTGATTGATTGATTAATGAGTGAAAATTTTATTATTTTATTGAAGAGATTTCAGTTGATGAATTTTTTTTTAAAATATTTTTTTACCTAACAAAAAAATTAAACAATTAAAATTAGAATATCAATTCATTATAAATTTTTCCTTTTAATATTAGTTAGTTGCTTGATAATTATTTTATTAGTTTTCTT